TTTATTTGACTGATGCTTTTCTTGGCTTGCAGCATGGTTGCATCTGTGGTGTTCACATCTGGTTGATAATGCAGAGTGAAAAACTCTCTCAGGTTTTTCTGCAGGTGCTGATAAGTAGTCTGTGCTGTAGTCCACATTTTTTATTCAGATATGGCAACACCACTTTGCCAGTTCTTTGTTGAAGCAGAAGAACTTGAGGTACCCTGTAGAAGGGCAAAATCAGTTGGCTGTAAATCCATGCTCATAAAATAAGTTAGAGAGAAATCCTGTCAAATGCCAAAATCTGGTTGACCGACCTGACTAGTGCGGGACTCTGATCGGCTGGAACTTCCCAAATTAGAAAAGCATCTGACAGATTTCACGTTTCACCTGAGAGTTCGCAAATTACTTCATTGGGAGCAACGCACAAACTTTCTGATGAAGAAGTTGTGGAACTTGCGGCAGAGATGTCCTCTAACCAAGCCATGACGTTGTCCACAAACTCAATAGCCAAAAGAGACGTATCCGATGACATCTCTTTAGCTGAACATGTCAATTCCTCCTCAGGAACCTCTGGCTTGTAAAATGTCACAATTGTGCTCATAACCTCCTTGGTGGTACAGTCGAGGTGAAGCTGAATGATCTGAGGACTAAGAGCTATCATAGGTCTGGAGCTTATGCTCTGACCTCTACGAAGAGCCACTTCTTCTGATGACATGACCCCTAGAAGCAAAGCCCCATTCTTACTGGAGCTAAAGTAATTTTGGATCAAAGTAGGAGCAGAAATGTTTTTAGTTTGCTCTAGATTCTCCTCTTTTTCTCGATCTGAACTTTTAAGGGCCAAAAGTCGAGAATCTAATAAAAAGCATGAGCTGGCGCACACCCAGAGAACATTATTTAGTGGAGGTGCTGACTAATGGAGAATAAACTGTAAGCCATAAAAACAAATAGAGTCACACACACTATGAAACCACCTTTGGTTTCTTACCCAATAAATTACTGGGAGTTTATACATAGAGTGTGCGACTCTCTTTATTTGTTTTTATAGCCAAAGGTCAAGAGTAAAATCCCCTCAGCATATTCTGCAACCTTTTAGTAAGCCTAAGAGCCACAGGTAGAGCTTTCACTTTTGTCAAATCTGATTGTACGATACACTGCATGTCGCTCACAAAGGAATCCATTATTTCAGAGGCCTCAGAGCCTAATGGTTGTAGTTAAATGTTTTTCTGGCAGATTTGTTTCACTGGCCAGATTACTTGAAGGCTCAGGTCTGCCAGCAGACATTTGTGCAGATAGACTTCTGCTAGACCTAATGAGCATCTCTCTAATAGCTTCAGTGGCTTCTGACTTCAGTTCAACACTGAAGAAATTGTCAATGGTTTACATTTTGTCAGGGTGAAAGTATGAGCATTTTTGACTCACCAAGCTGCCAAAGGATACAGTCTCTTTCAGAATTGTTTTTCTCCACTAGGTAGTCTTCCTGAAGACCACCAACACAATCCTTTGAAGCACATTTTTTAAAACTTTGTGTGCAATTTCTCGAGGCGCATCCATTTTTCCTTGCTCTTCTTCCTGGCATTCTCCGGATTTGACAATGACAGCCATGACCTCTCCTGTCAACGGTGCAAGGGAGGCCTCGATGTCTATATTCTCCATAGATGGATTGGTCTTGGCTTGAGGCGCAGCCTGTCCAGTGACTCCAAACCGCCGCAGCTTGGCAGAGATAACAGACACCCTCTTCTTGGCAGCCTGGATGCCATACCGCCTCCCAGTTCACACAACACTGGGCTTGATTTACCTGAGCTGGAACAGGAGATGATCAGTGAGATGTCAGAGTTAACCTGACCACTGATCTGGTCAATCCAAGTGAGCAAGCAGAGCAGGATTGACCTCCCAGAACCTGAAGAATTGTGTCCTCTGTGATCCCAAAGAGGATCTGTCAGTCGAGCCTCTCCTCCATGTGCCCTCTGCAACAAGATTTTATAAATCTTGTCTAATGTTTACATATTGATGATCTTTATAAATTGTTTATTTGAATTAACCAATAGTTAATTATCTAACCAATATGTAAAATGTAGTTCAATGAAGCGTTTTTATGTGGTGTCTGTTATTTTACCCAAAAAAATGTAGTTTCTTAGCTTTGTATTCTAAGAACAGTCAAATGCTGTGTAATGTGTGAAAAAGTTAACCTGAATTGAGTATGTACCGTATACAGTGATATGATAAGTTGGGTCAGGCATGCAGTTGAGGTTGGTGAACATGTGGTTGATGAAGATACCTTCCGGAAGAAGAATGTGGAGTGGGTGTGCTGGAGTTGTAATAATGTGTACCACTTCCTCAATTCTCTGTTGTGGTAACTGTTTTCATGCATCAACTCCAGCCTCTGTTCAAATTCAGTGGACGAGGGGTAGGGAGTCTTGACCTGTTGACTACACAGAGACTTTCCACCACTAGACCTTGTGGGTAGATCTGTCATTAAACATCACCATGCGTGACTGCTTAAAATCAGTTGCGGAGGGGTATGGAGTCTTGACATGTTGGCTGCACAGAGACTTTTTTAATTTAGTTTCTTTACCCCCTTTTTCTCTGGATTTTGTGATATACAATTGTGATCTTGTCTCATCGCTGCAACTCCCCAACGGGCTCGGGAGAGGCGAAGGTCGAGTCTTGAGTCCTCCGAAACATGACCCACCAAGCCGCGTTACTTCGTAACAACTGCTTGCTTAACCCGGAAGCCAGCTGCACCAATGTGTCGGAGGAAACACAGTTCAACTGACGATCGAGGTCAGCTTGCAGGCACCCGGCCCACCACAAGGAGTCGCTAGAGCGCGATGAGCCCAAGTAAAGCCCCTCGGCCAAACCCTCCCCTAACCCGGACAACGCTGGGCCAATTGTGCGCCGCCCTATGGGACTCCCGGTCAAGGTCGGTTGTGACACACCCTGGGATCGAACCCCAGGTTGTAGTGATGCCACAACACTGCGATGCAGTGCCTTAGACCGCTGCGCCACTCGGGAGGCACACAGACTTTCCACTGCCAGGCATCTTGGGTAGACCTTCTTCATTAAACCTCAACACACATTCCTGGATGCTTGCAATGTTGGAGCACTCCAGTCAGCGAGGGGGAGGAGCTAGCTTCCCTGGCAGCATCAAGTTTTTTTTCTCATCAATCTACACACAATACCCCATAATGACAAAGCAAAAACAGGTTTTTAGAAGAAAAAAATATATAAAAAAAAAAAATATATATATATATATATTTAAATAAGTATTCAGACGCTTTACTCAGCAGACATTTTTTGATACCCTTCCCCAGATCTGTGCCTCGACACAATCCTGTCTCGGAGCTCTATGGACAATTCCTTCAACCTCATGGCTTGGTTTTTGCTCTGACATGCACTGTCACTGGACCTTATATAGACAGGTGTGTGCCTTTCCAAATCATGTCAAATCAATTGAATTTACCACAGGTGGACTCCAATCAAGTTGTAGAAACATCTCAAGCATGATCAATGGAAACAGGATGCACCTGAGCTCAATTTCGAGTCTCATAGCAAAGGGCCTGAATACTTATTTAAATAAGGTACTTGTGTTTTTTATTTTTAATACATTTGCACACATTTTTAAAAACCTGTTTTTTCTTTTTGTCATTATGGGGTATTTTGTGTAGATTAATGAGGGGGGGAAATAATTTAGTCAATTTTAAAATAAGGCTTTAACGTAACCAAATGTGGAAAAAGTGAAGGGGTCTTAATACTTTCCGAATGCACTGGACCTATCAGTGAGATTACTCATGAAATTGGTGAGGATAGGGAAGCAGATGTCCTCTTCCGTTCCTGAGGGGTGAAGTAGACTATTGAGAAGTTCCTTCTGTAAGAGTTGAATTACTGCTGCCCTGTTTTGGTATTTATCCGAAGAGAATGCCACAGAGGGACCTAAAGGACAAAAATGTATACGTTTTTTTTCATTTAAAAAATTTGTTGAATCTGCACAACAAAGGGCACACTAACCAAACGGTACATGTACTGGGAAAAGTCATGTTTTAATATCCAAAAACTCGAACCTGCTTCAGTATCACGGTCGGCTGAGGTCTTCTTGGCACTTGATTTCCATTTGGCCTTCAAGAAAACAGATTTCAAATCCCACATTAGTATGCTTAATGTGAAACATCAAGTCAAAGCAGCCCATTATTTAGCCAATACATAGACAGATAGATTAAAAGCTAGCAAAGAGCCCAAATGACCAGAGGACCAATCTTACCGTTCTCTCTTCTTTTACTTGAGCTGGCTCTTCTTCTTTTGAGTCCTCCTCCATCCATTTCTCTTGGTGACTATCTTCCAAGTACTGTTATATACACATGTTGTTAACGTTATTATCATCATATCATATACAGTTTTCATCAAATTACGCTTGTTAACCTATCTGTTTGGTGAAAAGAGTCTAACACAAATCTGCCAAAATAGCCTTATGGTCACTAGAGGCCTCTATCGTTCTTTATGGTATTTCCCTCCTTTTTTTTGATTCCCACAGATGAAACGTCATCAACAAGAGACAAAATAGGTTGGCAGAAAGCCTGGTTAGAGAAATACCATCTTATTTAGCTTTTGGTACTAGAGCCTGTGTTGAGCTTATTTCCTCTAATATGTATCATGACATGTGGAATTTTGGTGTACATTTTGCTAAATTATAGTGTGTTTACCAACTAATTATTCGTGAAGAAAGGTTGAGCGTGACTTTCTCAGTGTGAGGACCGAACAGTTGGCAAAAACAAAACAAACGCCAGTAGCGTCTAGAATGAAATCTGAAAGATAATTTAGCTAGCTAACGTATTACTTTTTGCCGCAGAGAATAAGGTAATGTATTCTGTTAGATTTGCTACCTTTCCTTCTAAAATATGTTTGGGGGCAGGGGTCCCCTTGCTATCCCCATGGCTACCCCCCCCCATCTCATCTCAGTGCCAACTCGCTCTCAAGCTAGCTAACTAAATACATATAATCATGCACATTAGCTACATAACATTAACATTTGACTCAGTGATCTCACTTAGTAGAATTCAAAACACTAGTTAGCTTATGATGAATTGATGCCAATAGCTACCTTCAGTGTAATTTTACACATGACATGTACCACTCACTCAGGTGTAAACAGCTCATGGTTGACACTGAGAAAAGAGCAGTGGGATGTGGTGCCACATCCACCATAGACCTCAGCGGAAAGAACAAAGAGAATGAGAAGAAAAAGAGGTCTCGTGTGAAACAGGTGATGGCAGATGTGAAGAAACAGGTGGACTTCTGGTTCGGGGATGTCAACCTTCACAAGGACCGGTTTCTGAGACAACTCATTGAGGAGTCACGAGATGGATGTAAGTCATTGCAATAAGCAGCACTGGTGTAGTAGCTGGCTAGTTTACTTTCCCTGTAAGTTCCTTTCATTTGAAGCGAGTTGAGCTGCTACTGTCAACAGTGGTTTTATTTTCTACAGATGTTGACATATCAGTGTTGACGTCCTTCAACCGAATGAAAAATCTGACAACTGATTGCAAGTTGATTGCTAGAGCGCTGAAAAATGCATCTGTCGTTGAGGTAAAGTACTACTGTATATATTCAGTTTTTCAGTTGCATGCTGGTTGGAGTTTTGTATCGAATCCATAGATTTATGGTGTTCACTGTGACCTGTTTTGGTCCTTTAGGTCAACCTAGAGGGAACTAAAGTGCGACGGCAGCGTCCAATAGGAGAGGATCCAAAAGATGTAGACAAGCGAACAGTCTATGTGGTAAATACCAGTTACATTCATGTTTGTCAATTCATGACGTGGTCCTTTGGTTATTATAAAATACAGCTTCCCCCCAGGAACTTCTGCCCAAGAAAGTAACCCACGACTGGCTAGAGCGAGTGTTCACCAAATGTGGAAATGTGGTTTACGTCAGCGTGCCAAGATACAAAACCACGGGCCACTCCAAAGGGTTTGCCTTCGTTGAGTTTGAGACAGAAGAGGAAGCACAGAAAGCCATAGAGGTGAGATATCATAAAGATTTCTCTGTAATTCATTTCATGATTGAATTGATGTGTTCTATCTAGTAACAAACTGGTAGAGAACTAACCATGTTCTCCTTGTCCAGATGCTAAACAACCCTCCAGAGGACGCCCGCAGGAAGCCTGGCATCTTTCCCAAGACCAAGAACAGGAAGCCTATCCCTGATCCACCCTCCCTGAACACCACACAAGGTGGGTATTGGGAAAAATGTAGCATCACTGGTTAACTCCAGAGTGACTACACACAATAAGAACAAATGCGTATGTTGGCCACTTTTGAGTAAAGTGGCAACGCTTTAAGTGTCAAGTTAACACCCTTTACCATCTGTGAATCTACTGTGTGTGTGTGTGTGTGTGTGTGTGTGTGTGTGTGTGTGTGTGTGTGTGTGTGTCTTTGCAGACAAGGAAGAGGAGGAGGAGAAGAAGAAGAGGAAGAAGAAGAAGTCCAGGGGGAGCGCCAAAGAGGACGCCCTGTCACAGACGGAGACGACAGTGGGCGGGGGCAAACAGGAAATAGAATCTGAGTCTAAACCCTCTGACAGGAAGAGGAAACACACGGCCGAGGGTGCAGAGGGCGTAGTACCTGCGGAGGGCACAAGGAAGCCCCCATCCAAAAAGCTAGAGAAGAAGAGACGGCGGTCCCAGACAGGGGAGAGCTCAGAGAGTGACGCCCAGGGAGACATGCCATCCAAGCTGAGGAAGACGAGTGAGGGGAAGGATGACAAGGTGAAGGAGAGCGATGGGAAAGGTAAGGCCCTTCATTATATTGAACCCGCATCACATTGCTTGTAGGGCTGGGAATTACCAGGTACCTCACGATACAATATCACGATACTTAGGTGCCGATTCTATATGTATTGTGATTCAATACTGTGATTTTATTGCGATGTTCCAAACATATTGCTCACCATATGTCTGCTGCAGAGAGACAAGAGAGCCATGAGAATGAGTTTTGATCAGTCATGGAAATAAAAGTGATGAAAACAAATTGGCTCCCTATTTAAAACGATGGAGAACAAGCTGTGAAGGAGTTTTGGTGCAACTAGCACAAAAATAATATTGTGATATTGTCAAAACGATACAATATATCGTGAAACAATATCCCGATATGTAACTATTGACCCCCACCACCACCATCACTAATTGCTTGTGAACAGATAAAATCACACAAAATGGTTTTGCATACAAGAAAATACTGGGTAGACTCCTCTCATTCACAGGTAGATGCTCCTAGTTCAGAATCACACGTGGGCAGGTTTGACTAAATCCTGCTCTAAGGATGGTCTCCCGGTCTGACACTATAGTGAGATGGTCAGCAGTGACAAATTAAGCCTAATAATAATCTTGTGTTCTTCAGACCTGCCTGTCAAGGCTAAGGAGGAGAAAGAGGAAGAGGAGGAGAAGATGGACGACTCCCTGCTAAAAGCCAAGAGGAAAAGGAAGAAGAAGCACAAGGAGAGGGTGAAGATCGGGGAAGAGGTTATTCCTCTCCGGGTTCTCTCCAAGTAAGAACTATCATGCATCTTTATCACTACTAGCTTACTCTTAGTCAATCAGACCAACAGCATTGACATAATCCCTAAATAACTTAGTCTAAAGCATAGCATCTTTATTGAACAATCCAATACCCTAGTGTTAGACAAGATATTATTTAGAATGAAGAGCTTGCTCTTTCTTTTGTTCTCTCTCTCCTTTCTCTACCTCTCCCTCTCCATCCTCTCCTTCTGGCTCTGGATGGAAGGAAAGACTGGCTGAAGCTGAAGCAGGAGTATCTGACCCTGCAGAAGAGGAGCATGGGAGCTCTGAAGACGTGCTTGACCAAGTTCCACCACAAGGGGGCAGGAGGGGAAGATGGAGATGGACACCAGTCTGCAACAGACATGTAAGTACCTATACTGAACAAAAATATAAACGCAACATGTAAAGTGTTGGTCCCAACATACATGACGTTTCATGAACTGAAATAAAAGATCCCAGAAATGTTCCATGCGCACAAAAAGCTTATTTCTCTCAAATTGTGCACAAATTTGTTTACATCCCTGTTAGTGAGCATTTCTTCTTTGCCAAGATAATCCATCCACCTGACAGGTGTGGCATATCAAGCAGCTGATTAAAGATCATGATCATTACACAGGTGCACCTTGTGCTGGGGACAATAAAAGGCAACTCTAAAATGTGCAGGTTTGTCACACAACACTAAGCCACAGATGTCTCAAGTTTTGAGGGAGCGTGCAATTGGCATGGGGATGCAGGAATGTCCACCAGAGCTGTTGCCAGAGAATGTAATGTTAATTTCTCTACCATAAGCCGCCTCCAATGTAGTTTTAGAGAATTTGGCAGTATGTCCAACCGGCCTCACAACCGCAGACCACACAAGCCCAGGACCTCCACATCTGGCTTCTTCACCTGCAGGATCGTCTGAGACCAGCCACCCAGACAGCTGATGAAACTGTGGGTTTGCACAACCAAATTATTTCTGCACTAATTGTCAGAAACTGTCTCAGGGAAGCTCATCTGCGTGCTCGTTGTCCTCACCAGGGTCTTGAACTGACTGCAGTTTGGCGTTGTAACCGACTTCAGTGTACAAATGCTCACCTTCGATGGCCACTGGCACGCTGGAGAAGTGTGCTTTTCACAGATGAATCCCAGTTTCAACTGTACCGAACAGATGGCAGACCATGTGTATGGCGTCGTGTGGGCGAGCGATTTGCTGATGTCAATGTTGTGAACAGAGTGCCCCATGGTAGCAGTGGGGTTTTGGTATGAGCAGGCATAAGCTACGGACAATGAACATGATTGCATTTTATCGATGGCAATTTAAATGCACAGAGATACCGTGCCATTCATCCGCCGCCATCACCTCATGTTTCATCATGATAATGCATGGCCCCATTTCGCAAGGATCTGTACACAATTCCTGGAAGCTGAAAATGTCCCAGTTCTTCCATGGCCTACATACTCACCAGACATGTCACCAATTGAGCATGTTTGGGAAGCTCTGGATCGACTTGTACGACAGTGTGCTCCAGTTTCCGCCAATATCCAGCAACTTCACACAGCCATTGAAGAGGAGTGGGACACCATTCCACAGGCCAGAATCAACAGCCTGATCAACTCTATGCGAAGGAGATGCATGAGGCAAATGGTGGTCACACCAGATACTGACTGTTTTCTGATCCACGCCCCTACTTTTTTGTTTAAAGGTATCTATGACCAACAGATGTATATCTGTATTCCCAGTCATGTGAAATCCATAGATTAGGGCCTAATGAATTTATTTCAATTGACTGATTTCCTTATAAAAATGTTGAGACTGTTGCATGTTGCGTTTATATTTTTGTTCAGTGTAGTTATTGCCTAATATTTACCCACTACTTACCTATCTGTCAGTAGTACAACTTCTGCATAATTAAATCCCTTAGTACTCTTATAAACACCCCAAATATTGAACATATCGAGTCAAATGTTAGTTTACTGTCCACATATTACATTAGAATAAATGCGGAAAATCTTTTGAAACTGGTTCCCATTAAATTGACAATTTCTGAACACAATATTATGTCTTCATGTATTTCTGTCTCTCTTTTTTTCCACAGCTGAGGAGCGTAAATCAGGTGAAAAGGAGACTCCCCCCGGGCCTCAGTTTGAGAGTGGCTGCATCGTCAAGATCACACACACCAAACCCTTACCTGGGAGAAAAGTCATCAAGGTAGAGATGTGCTTTTAACTCTTCTTTTACCATGTAAAAATGATTAGAGCCATGTGTTCTTCTAACCAAAAATGTGTGTGCACATGTGTGTGTCTAGGATGCTCTCTCAGAGGTTTCCCCAGTGGTGTATGTGGACACCCTTGAGGGTGACGTCCGCTTCAAGAGTCCAGTAGAGGCCAAGGCCATCATTGACGCTCGCACCGACCTGCAGAACAAACACAGCTGGCAGCTAGAGATCCTCTCTGGTATGCTGACTCTCCCATTACTTCTCAGTGGTTCCTCAAGGGCCCTGTTCAAATCATCTTTCATTGCATCCTTCCTTCCTCCCTATCTTGAGGTAATCGCTGACATGACTAGTGACAGCAACACAGAGGTAGCCTTGCTCATATTAGATCAGTGATTTCTTCAAGGATGGGAGGAAGGAGGGATGTATTTGGGAGAATTCAAACAGGGCCTTAAACAATTTACTACATCTGAACAGAGGCAATGGAGATGTAAGATAATGGTCAATTAACAGTTGGGGGTTCTCTGTAGCTCAGTTGGTAGAGTATGGCACTTGCAACGGCAGGATAATGGGTTCGATTCCCGGGACCACCCGTATGTAAAATGTATGCACGCATGACTAAGTCGGTTTGGATAAAAGTGTCTGCTAAATGGCTATTATTATTATTATTATTATTATTATTATGATATATTAACAGTTGTTTTTCAATTCCTCTTACAGCGTCATCATTAGAGGATCAAGAAAGCATATTCATGAATGAATGTCTTTTACCAAAAGATGTTTGATTAATTTGGCTTCATTTGCTCATTAAGAGAAAAATGTGGCTGAATTATGTCACAATTGCTCATTTGTTCATTAATTTGTACTTTTAGGCGACCATGAACAAAGGTACTGGCAGAAGATCCTGGTGGACCGCCAAGCTAAGCTGAACCGACCCAGAGACAAGAAACGGGGCACAGAGAAAGTAGGCTTCCCCTCCATTTTAATTTTCTATGGATTATTTACTAGGATCTCTAGCAGCACCCAACCATTTTAATTAGGGAGAAAAAAAACACATTATGAGCATGTTGTTCACTCATTTTATCTATTTTTCTGCCCCAGCTCATTTCCAAAGCCGAGAAAATCATCATAGCCAGGGCCAAGGAGGCCACTAAGCACATCCGTTTCATGGAGGACTGATCAAAACTGTCAAGTTCTACTGTGTGTCCTTTCTTTTCTGAATAATTTTCTTCCTTAAGAGTTTATTGAAATGTTGGCCTTTTTGTCATTTCTACATTGGATGATGTTTTTGTGAAGCATTTTTTATTTTTCCTATTCTTGAGAATGTTACAAGCAGAGAGAAGCCATGGTTTTAAAAGGGATGTCATGGTTTTAAAAGGGATACATAATAACCTTCCACTGACGGGAAGGTTATTATGTATGGAGACTGTTCTACAAGTAGAAAGCTGCTACATTATTTAAATTGGGAAATAGATTTGCGCACTACTCAATTTTTTTCTAAATTATGTTGAAGTGAGAGGTGCCTAAATGTCAGTAATGAAATGTGAATGTGTATATACTGTAAATATGATTTCAAAACGTGCCCAGACAAGCTTTGTTCAAGAACGGTTTTCGCTAACATGGCATGGCAACAATAACCTTTTGTTTTTGAAGGAATTTTACTATTTTCTAAATAATAAATATACATTTTGGTGCTTAGTAATGGACTTGTGGCTTTTTTATTCAGCCCATGAACAAAAGCCTCATGCATTATATTGCTCACACACATCATGCATGCAGCATTAGGTGCATTACCATGCTAAATTATATTTTACATTCGTGTCCACATTGTTAACTTATGTAACATTAAATAGAAAACAGCTTAACAATTACACAATATTCAAAGTAAGAATTGTTATGAATTCTTGGTATAAAAAAAAACACATGCACAATCAGGATTATGCTTTTTTTTATGTGAGTGACCATACAAAATACCTGAGGTGCTCATTAATGTGATTAATTCATCTAAAATGTCAATTAATATATTTGAATATAAATCTAAGACACCCCCCTAGCTAGCTGTGTGTGCAGGTCAGTGGTCGGGACTCTACGGCGCCCTCTTGGCTCGGCTGGGGACCCTGCAGCTCTTCCTGCTGTGGGAGTAAGAGGGCTTATCGGATGTTGCAGCGGCCAGCCCCGTTTCCTGTACCGAGATGGTCCGGGACAGCCTGTGTCCTCCAGCCCCCATGGAGCTGTACTCAAAGCCAGGAGGACAGCCATCCCGGGCTGGGCAAGGTGGGATCTCCTTGGGTGTGTAGGTGGAGCGATAGCTGGATTCCTCATCCATGGCCTTGGGACTCAGCAGCTTCTGGGTGGGCTTAAAGCTGGTGGCGCGCTGGGCCGTCTTGGGCGTGTATGCTGAGCGGAAGGTGGTGGTGTTGGCGAAAGCCCCCTTGGGTTTCTCTAGCTCATCTGCGTAGACCATGGGGGGGGGGGGGACCACGTCCCAGATCCGGTAGTCCTCCTTCATGGTTGACCTGGTCTGGAGGGGCTCCCTGGCCTCCTTCGCCCAGGCCTCGACCGGGGGACGGGCGGACTGGGGCCGCTGCTGGCACTCGTGGTCGACATAGTCAGCATGAGCTGTGGACAGACCGACCATAGTGCCCTCGGGTGGGCAGTACTTCTCAGCCTGGTGCTGGTGCTTGGGCTGCAGGGGCCAGACCTTGTACTGGTCGCGGAACTCACTGGTCCCCTGGAATACAGCCGGGCTGCTCTCCCAGGCCACCTTTGCCCTAAAGGGCTTGGCGGGCTCGGCTGGCAGGCCCCGGTAGTCCTGCCTGTAGGTGGAGACCCCATTGAGGGGGGCGCTGGTGGGCCTGTAGACAGCCTTCCCTTTGGGCTGCGTGGGCTGGACCGGGTGGGGGACATACTGCGTGTGGTAGTTGGTGGCGCCGTCGAAGGGCAGGGTCTCCCGGGTGTCGGCGGCCGGTTTGAAGCTCTCCCTGGCCTCGGTCGGGCCCTTGTAGCAGTAGTCGTCTTGGAAGGTGGTGGTCACCTCGAACTTGCTGTCGTTCAGCTTCAGGTTGTCACACGTCCTGTAGGGTTGGACTTTCTGGTTGTGCCATGCTCGGAATTCCCCTGGAAATAATAGAGAGAGGACTACGTTTAATGTCAAATCCATGGTTTCATTTCATCTGACCATTAAAAACATCTACAAATTCTACAAATTCAATGTTAACGCCAAGATGTATTCATTTCATTTGAACAATTATTGTTGATTTGATTATAATTGATTTATTAATCTTTCGAATACTGAGTAGCCTACATCTTAAGCTATTCCCCTACTAAAGACACAGAATCTGTACCTTTGTATAAGGACTGAGCAACCATCTTTGCTGTGGGTGGATGATACACCTCTGGCTTGGTCACAATGTGCTTCTGAACCGGGTGGGTTGGGTAGTCCCTGGTGTAGGTACTGCTGTGTCTCATTCTCCCGTCAGATGGCTCATACACCTTGGTGACCTTTGGTGGCCTCTGGGTCACTTCATGGGCCACGTAGTCTGACCTGAAAGACATTACCCTCATGACTTGCAACGTGCAGACTGAATAAACTACGCAAACTATTAAATTGTTAATGTTGTCATTCACTCTTTTTCTACCAGAATATCATATCTTATTTGATGAATTATGTGTCTCTCACTTGAAAGTGGTCATGTTGGATATCCTTCCCTCCAGTGGCTGATACTCATTATTCAGCTTCTTGGCTGCCCGAACGACAGTGGTGCAGTAGGCAGGGTACTTTTCCTGGTATTCCGAGACCATGCAGCCTGGGATCAGGACACATGGTTCCTCTGGATGGGATCCTTGTGAGCTGTGGTGATGCCTGCCAAGAGAAAGGGATTAAGTGTTGGGATTGGTTGGAATGGCCCAAGAGTGTGTTGTTGAGAATCGGCTGTTGGTCAAAGTGGTGTTCTGGTTGGTGGCACCTTAATTGGGGAGGACAGGCTCGTGGTAATGGCTGGAGCTGAATAGGTGGAATGGTATCAAATACGTCAAACACATGGTTTAAATGTGTTTGATGCCATTCCATTCGCTCAGTTCCAGCCATTATAATGAGCCGTCCTTCCCTCAGCAGCCTCCACTGTTCTGAACAGAAATGGAATGTAGTTCTTAGAAATTTTTTGAAATTATATTGCGCTCAGATTAGTTTGTCGCTCTTCTCTCAGATAAGCTACATTAAAAAACATATAATTTGGTCTCACACAGCATGCAAAAATAATTATACAGCATTTAAACTTGTAAATGTAATTAGAAGATGAACGATAACACTAGCATGATGTATAATGATCATGTGGTTTCATCGGGTCACAGTCAATATATTTGCATTCTGTTGGTACGGGCGTAACCTACCCTGCCTTCAGGTAAACATGTACTGCAACCCACAGCCATATCCTCTCTCCATCACCAGAATATAACTCACACTCCATGCCAGATCCGAGGTATTTAACGACCCCAAAGTTAAAACATGAATGATCTTACCTCATTGGCAAAGGTGGGCATCTCCAAATTCCGGATATAGCTTGAAACATCACACTATGGGATAGGCCTGCGCGTCTTTACGCTGTGCGCTCGGGTGTTGTGTTCCAATCCATCGTCCCAAACGCGTTTAAATTATTGACCAGAAGAACACGGGCTGTGTTGTAGTAGGCTACATGAAGTGCGTAGCGACTGAGAGAGCTTCTAAAAATAAATGCCCGTGGATTATTCACTCTCTCTACTCTCACTCTCTCAAGCCCTGTTTATACCTGGTGCTAACATGGGTCCTTTATCCTGATCTTCTCTACATTCTGATTGTGCCTACATTTCCAGAAATATGTCTACACACCATGCGTCTGTTATCCGTCCACTATGTCTGCATTGTGACCAGATTTCCTGGTCCCTTCCTTTATGCAAATTATTTCACAGCTATTCTTTCATAATTATATTTATGTATTTATTGTAAGACACATATTGATGTAATCAGTCAATGGTGCCACCTATCAAGGATTTTAGAGGGCGGAATAATTATGATTTAAATTGTTTCTCTGTCCAGAACTGTCTACACTTGTAAGATATCCAGACACAATACGTGTCTGACTACCTCTGAGGGTGGGCGGGATGATCTAATCACAATCAGATCACAATGTGTATTTTGATTGTCACACCTGTCTAACAATGTGGGCACAATCAGAATGTGGACACGATCAGGTCAAAGGACGTAAATTAGAACCAGGTATAAACGGGGCTTCAGTTTCTCTTCCAGCTCTGCTTCGCTCGAGGATGAGGACGCGGCTATGCTTATGCTCTATGTAGAGGGTTATTTCCAGGGTTTTCGTTGGGGAAATGGATTACATAAATTCCCGCTACTTTAAGTAAACAAAATACAAAATACTAATACTAACATATTGGTCATCCCATGTCCACTCCAGTTCCGAATTTGGAGTGGAAATGAGTGATAGACATCCATGAGAATAGGCTCTGAGACATTATGATTTTGAGTCAGTGTGACCTCGTAGGCTGTGTCGTAGTTACAGCTCTCCATCTGTTACGTTTTCTTAGCCAAAAAAACACTAGACTACATACACTACAGCTGAAATCGCTGTGTGAGTGCACCGTCGGTTGGGATATTGGTACCTACCCGCAGGTGCATATCTGGCACAAACATTGGATTGTCATGGTGTCTGTCTGTTGACTATACACTCCACTCCTGCTGTCAGATTAAACTTTGAACATAATTTTGTGGTTTAGAATAATGATTCCAAAATTGGAATTTAATATTCGAGAATGTGTTGTTTGTGTCATAATGAAGGCTCGTTCCACAGGTGTGATCATATAATTGGAACATATTCTTTGAATGTGACAAACTTTATGACATATACAGTGGGGGAAAAAAGTATTTAGTCAGCCACCAATTGTGCAAGTTCTCCCACTTAAAAAGATGAGAGAGGCCTGTAATTTTCATCATACGTATACGTCAACTATGACAGACAAATTGAGAATTTTTTTCTCCAGAAAATCACATTGTGGGATTTTTTATGAATTTATTTGCAAATTATGGTGGAAAATAAGTATTTGGTCATCTACAAACAAGCAAGATTTCTGGCTCTCACAGACCTGTAACTTCTTCTTTAAGAGGCTCCTCTGTCCTCCACTCGTTACCTGTATTAATGGCACCTGTTTGAACTTGTTATCGGTATAAAAGACACCTGTCCACAACCTCAAAAAGTCACACTCCAAACTCCACTATGGCCAAGACCAAAGAGCTGTCAAAGGACACCAGAAACACAATTGTAGACCTGCACCAGGCTGGGAAGACTGAATCTGCAATAGGTAAGCAGCTTGGTTTGAAGAAATCAACTGTGGGAGCAATTATTAGGAAATGGAAGACATACAAGACCACTGATAATCTCCCTCGATCTGGGGCTCCACGCAAGATCTCACCCCGTGGGGTCAAAATGATCACAAGAACAGTGAGCAAAAATCCCAGAACCACATGGGGGGACCTAGTGAATGACCTGCAGAGAGCTGGGACCAAAGTAACAAAGCCTACCATCAGTAACACACTACGCCGCCAGGGACTCAAATCCTGCAGTGCCAGACGTGTCCCCCTGCTTAAGCCAGTACATGTCCAGGCCCGTCTGAAGTTTGCTAGAGTGCATTTGGATGATCCAGAAGAGGATTGGGAGAATGTCATATGGTCAGATGAAACCAAAATAGAACTTTTTGGTAAAAACTCAACTCGTCGTGTTTGGAGGACAAAGAATGCTGAGTTGCATCCAAAGAACACCATACCTACTGTGAAGCATGGGGGTGGAAACATCATGCTTTCGGGCTGTTTTTCTGCAAAGGGACCAGGACGACTGATCCGTGTAAAGGAAAGAATGAATGGGGCCATGTATCGTGATATTTTTTGTGAAAACCTCCTTCCATCAGCAAGGGCATTGAAGATGAAACGTGGCTGGGTCTTTCAGCATGACAATGATCCCAAACACACCGCCCGGGCAACGAAGGAGTGGCTTCGTAAGAAGCATTTCAAGGTCCTGGAGTGGCCTAGCCAGTCTCCAGATCTCAACCCCATAGAAAATCTTTGGAGGGAGTTGAAAGTCCGTGTTGCCCAGCGACAGCCCCAAAACATCACTGCTCTAGAGGAGATCTGCATGGAGGAATGGGCCAAAATACCAGCAACAGTGTGTGAAAACCTTGTGAAGACTTACAGAAAACGTTTGACCTGTGTCATTGCCAACAAAGGGTATATAACAAAGTATTGAGAAACTTTTGTTATTGACCAAATACTTATTTTCCACCATAATTTGCAAATAAATTCATAAAAAATTTTTTTCTCAATTTGTCTTTCATAGTTGACGTGTACCTATGATGAAAATTACAGGCCTCTCTCATCTTTTTAAGTGGGAGAACTTGCACAAATAGTGGCTGACTAAATACTTTTTTCCCCCACTGTATGCTTAAGGGAGACAAAGAGAGAGAGAGAGAGAGACACACACACAGAGAGAGAGAGAGACACACACACAGAGAGAGAGAGAGACACACACACAGAGAGAGAGACACACACAGAGAGAGAGAGACCCAGTGGCATGTATTCATGGATGCCAAGGGAAGCATAGCCACGGGAAGTAGGGGTGCTGACGGTGCTGCAGCACCCCCTGAAAAATCAGAATCCAATCATTTTTTTATTACAAAACATAAGTGTTTTTTAAAAATGTTTTTGGTTTTCACAAAAGTAGTGCACTGGGCCTTTACTAGTATTAGGGAACCAATATAGAGGTCTGTAGCATGGACAAAAACATATTTTCAGCATCTCCACTGGCAAAAAAAGGTAGTTGTATAATTAAGAACAGTATATTGCAGGATTCAATAGTTGGAATTGTAAGAGTTGTTGGCCTGTCCCTTTCTCTGCGATTGTCATTCTAATGGAATCCAGAAAGAACAAAACCCTGTCCTCAAACATTTACATCAAAAGGTGCAAAGTTATGAACAAAAACATCCTCATCAAATTATATATTTTTCTTGATCAAATAACATGGAAAACAACCACTTCTTGTGCAGTGTTAATTGACCATCCTTACGAACCACTTAATGTAGCTGCTGCTGCCTATTGAAATCACTGGCCACTTAAGAAATAGAACACTAGTCACTTTAATAATGTTTACATATCTTGTATTACTCATCTCATATGTATTTACTCTATTCTATAATATTCTACTGTATCTTAGTCCATATATGTATATATTCTTAAATTCCATTCCTTACTTAGATTTGTGTGTATTGGGTATATGTTGTGAAATTGTTAGATATTACTTGTTAGATATTACTGCACTGTCGGAGCTAGAAGCACAAGCATTTCGCTACACCCGCAATAACATCTGCTAAACACGGGTATGTGACAAATACAATTTGATTTGATTTTAAATGTACATTACTGTATTGTACATATGCTGATCATCTAGGTTTGTACCTGTAGACTTTCCATCACCATGAAGGAAAACAATGCACAATACAGTAATTCAGTATATTGATACATCAAGTGGTTTGTGATGATGTGATGTGATGGTGAGGCTCAGTTGGTTGAGCATGGTGCTTGCAATGCTAGGGTTGTGGGTTTGATTCCCACAGGGGACCAGTAGGAAAATGTATGCACTCACTACTGTAAGTTGCTCTAGATAAGAGTGTCTACTAACATGGAAAATAAATGAATAGACCATTTCAGTTTTCATAGAAATAAGTTGCATTTGCAAAGTACATCAAGCAAGTATTTTTTATATTTCACAAGTATTATCAGATTAACTGTTTTGTACAGATAATTGTCAGACTCAAGTTACAAATGCTGGTAAACACTCAAATACATTTAGTTTTTTTTAAATCACAAAGGTAGTGCACTGGGCCTTTAATAGTCCCCGTATTAGTGGACCGATTTGGATGTCTCTGAAATTATAAAGCTGTCGCATGACTCAGATGCGTCAGGGAAGTCAAATAAGGACAATGAACTTTGATCACACTCAACAGGCCATTGGAGCTGCTTTCACTAGTTGCAACATTAAGTAAACATTTATATAAAGTTGGATTACAAAACCTTCCACATCCTGTACAAATACACTACCGGTCAAAAGTTTGGACACACTTACTTATTCAAGGGGTTTTCTTTATTTTTACATTGTAGAATAATAGTGAAGACATCAAAAACTATGACATAACACTTATGGAATCATGTAGTAACCAATGTGGGAACTCCTTCAAGTGTAGCCTGGCCTGGGACATGTATGTGAGCCAGGTGGAAGTCTTGTTTAATTTCTATGTTGTCGGTCTCCCAGAACGGGTGTGTGATGGGAGCAATATTTACTGTTGTCTGCACTTTGGTTTGTGGTTTCTTCTTTTGGTTGGTATTGAGGACTTCACGTTTGTTCTTTGTTTTGATCGTGTGATCTAGACAATAAATTAAATATGTTCACCCGCAACGCTGCGCCTTGGTCTCCCTCATTAGACGATCGTGACAGAAGAAACCACCTTAACCAGACCAAGCAGCGTGTTCAGGAGCCATCGCTGGCAGATCTCCGTGGCAACCTCGACTGGATCAAGCAGCGTGACGAGGAGAGAGGATGGACGTGGGAGGAGATGATTGCGAGTCTGGCAAGAGGGAGGAGAGACCCCCAGGAAATTTTTAGGGGGGGGCTCACGACGTCGGGCCAGCAGGTGTACGGGTTAGAGCGGTGCAAAGCGTTGGCAGAGAAGGCCGCCAGGTTAGGGGGGCCACTGGGCACAGAGGAGAGGGAAAGTGTGGAGGCACGGCGAGAGGTACTGGGGTGTGTTACCAGTCCGGTCCGGCCCGTTCCTGATCCCTGCGTGGGGCCAGTGGTGTGTGTCCCCAGTACGGTCCGGCCTGTTCCTGCCATTCCCACCAAGTCAGTGGTGCGCGTCGTCAGCCCAGCCCGGCCTGTTCCTGCCATTCCCACCAAGTCAGTGGTGCGCGTCGTCAGCCCGGCCCGGCCTGTTCCTGCCATTCCCACCAAGTCAGTGGTGCGCGTCGTCAGCCCAGCCCGGCCTGTTCCTGCCATTCCCACCAAGTCAGTGGTGTGCGTCGACAGCCCAGCCCGGCCTGTCCCTGCTCCACGCACAAAGCCTACGGTGTGCGTCGACAGCCCAGCCCGGCCCGTTCCTGCTCTCCGCACCAAGTCTGTGGTGCGCGTCGCCAGCCCAGTCCGGCCCATCCAAGCTTCCCGCACCAAGCCAGTGGTGTGCGTCGTCAGTCCGGCACGGCCCGTTCCTGCTCTCCGCACCAAGTCTGTGGTGCGCGTCGCCAGCCCAGTCCGGCCCATCCAAGCTTCCCGCACCAAGCCAGTGGTGTGCGTCGTCAGCCCTGTCCGGCCCGTTCCTGCTCTCCGCACCAAGTCTGTGGTGCGCGTCGCCAGCCCGGTCCGGCCCGTACAAGCTCCCCGCACCGGGTCAGTGGTGCGCGTCGTCAGCCCGGTCCGGCTCATTCCTGCTCCCCGCACCAAGTCAGGGGTGCGCTTCGTCAGCCCGGTCCGGCCCGTTCCTCCTCCACGCATCAAGCCAGGGGTGTGCGTCGTCAGTCCAGCACAACCCGTGCCTGGGTCATGTCCGGAGCCGGATCCGCCGCCGAGGCGGAGTGCCCACCCGGTCCCTCCCCTGTTGTGGTTGTTTGGCGCGGCCGGAGTCCGCGCCTTTGGGGGGGGGGGTACTGTCACGCCCTGGCTCTGGGGACTATGTTATGTTGAGCCAGGGTGTGTAAGTCTATGTTTAATTTTCTATGTTGGTCTGAGTGACTCCCAATCAGAGGCAACGAGTGTCAGCTGGGTGTCTCTGATTGGGAGCCATATTTAACTGTTTGTCTTGCACTTTGTGTTTTGTGGTTTCTTGTTCCTTTTGGTTGTGTATCGAAGGACTTCACGTTTCGTTCTTTGTTTTGATCGTGTGATCTAGACAATAAATTAAATATGTTCACCCGCAACGCTGCGCCTTGGTCTCCCTCATTAGACGATCGTGACATCAAGACTGTTGGAAAAGCATTCCAGGTGAAGCTGGTTGAGAGAATGCCAAGAGTGTGCAAAGCTGTCATCAAGGCAAAAGGTGGCTACTTTGAAGAATCTCAAATCTCAAATATATTTTTATTTGTTTAACACTTTTTTGGTTACTAGATGATTCCATATGTTATTTCATAGTTTTGATGTCTTCACTAGTATTATATAATGTAGAAAATAGTAAAAATAAAGAAAAACCCTTGAATGAGTAGGTGTCCAAACTTTTGACTGGTACTGTACGTCATCTTGTCAGTTTCTCATGTCACATGCAAGACATAGCCTAGGCCAAGCGGCAAAAACCAATGTAACAAAAATACAAAGCTAGACATTTATCATGTGCTTCTAGACAACTGCAACTTGTCCATGCTATGTAGGCCTACTGATTCTGTACAGTTGATGGTGACATCACAAAGTGCATCAATAAAGTGACGACATTCATTGTTCATGGTCCACAGGTTGTACTTTGCTTGACATCACATCAGGCCAGTCAAATAAAATTGTATGATGGACACTTCTGGATTGTAATACACTATGTAATCGGATGATAGTCCAGACCAGTACAGAGTAGTAATCACAAACGTCACTTAGTCATTGGAAGGGTCAGTTCTAGCCTACTACAACTTATAACCAGTGACGTAGTGGAGGGTAAACTTTGTTTTTACCCACCTTTCTATTAACCTAGATCATTTCTTTCCATTTTCATTAGCATTTGCCCACCTATTTACCCACGGTGCTCAGGTTTAACCTACTTTACCACTACTTCCATGCTTATAAATATACAAGTCAAAGGAAAGGGGGTTCAGTTATGTAGAAAAGTCTATCTTAGTCCAATATCTCTTTAATCCAGACTTTGAGCAACGTCAAAAATAATGGCCAACTGGGGAATAGATCATTGAGTAATACTGTATTCCAAAATCACATGGCATGATGATTCATAGTCTAAGGATGGCATGATGATTCAAGCCATTGTAATGATAGTGTAACACACAGAGTCATGTCACACAGCCTAAATGGTTTGATAAAAGTATCTGTTCTTCTGACACCCCTCACTGTAAAGATTCTGGTACTGTAAAACCCAGGTTCAAAAGCCGGTCAGTCCATGGAATTCAATGACTTTTTGGCTAGGGATGTATTCTGAAATGGCCACCACCTACTTTAAGGGACCATTATTAAAAGGGAATCTCTGAATGAATGTGGAATAGACTCCAAACAGCAGTAAATTGTATTATCGGATACATATAACATCTATGGGATATCCACTATAGAGGTTGTTAGTGTAAGAAGTTATCACATGCAATATGTTAAATGTCTGACATCGTTTATCCTCAAGTGATGCAGGACTGTGTCAGGCCATTCATTTATCTAGGAAATCCCCTGCCTTTTTCACACTCGTTACCTTTGCCCTAGAATTGTTAGCGGCGATTACGTCAAGTTATGAGCAATATCTCGCGAGAAGCAGAGACTATAAATACGGGCGCTGTTCGTTCACAATCAAATCTGATACGGAATAAGTTATTACACTGCTGGGATCATCATCATCATCATCATCATTTACCAAAATTAACCAACATACGTGGTAGGTAATCTTGTTAAACTTTTTCATGATCATACTTTTATGTGTTTATTTAATTTACTTATCAACCAATTTGGTGGATATTTGTCTGAACGCGAGAGTTCCTCTTTCGAATTTGACAGCGATACAGTAACGTTTGCTGCTACACTTTATCAATCAATATCGCCTTCCCTGTTGTTGTTTGGGTAGATCATTGAGTTGACATAATGATGTAGAAAAACAATGCTGATTTATTTTTTTTCCTTCCGAGTTGTTCATAACATTAATTTGTCTTCCTCCTCTTGTTTAGGTTTGCAGACATGGAAGTCGTTGAAGTCGTCAATAACCAGGTGTGTCTTTTGGGGAGTGAAACGGATCAAAGTAGTGAGTGCCAGCAGATAATAAAACAGAACAGAAGTGAATATACAGAACATGATCGAAAGTAGGCTACAACTCCTCAGATAGTTGACATTCAGTTGGCATGGTTATAGGTTTGTCTTTATTTTTGATTGTGTGTTTACAAGTCCAATGTTATGATAAAGGATAGCAAGTTACAAAGTTTCATACTACAGTAGCCAACTTTAGTCAGGAGCTGCTAGGCATGGATCCTTTTGACCTCAGGTGGGTTAGGTTGCTCATCCTAAATCTGAAGAAGGAAAAACACTATAAATTCAGAAGCCAAAAGCATACTTAGGGCTTCTACTTGTAGCATTGCTGACATTACTCTTGAGATTGTAACACGCAGTGTTCTAACATCCATTTTCAACTAATTTCTCACCAGAATGTGGTTGAGAGGGTGGCCAGCCTCCCCTTGGTGAGCTCCACCTATGACATGGTGTCCAGTGCCTACTGCACCACCAAGGATAACCACCCCTACCTCAAGTCCATGTGTGAGGTGGCCGAGCAGGGGGTTAGGACCCTCACCACTGCAGCGCTCACCGGTGCAGCACCCATCATCGGCAAGCTGGAGCCACAAAGTAAGAATATGTAGCCATCTCCAAATCTATAGGCACCTGGTATATTTGCACTAATGTAGACCTACATATTGAGTTTAATCTATTTGATTAATTGCCTATGTGTTGGTAAAAGCTGAAAATGGAAAAGCAAGCGCTTTGCCAGAATGGAATTTCTAGTATAAGATTTTAAACACATGCTTATTACAAAAATACTGTGCTTTTCTAGGTCAGTTCGGTTTCGATTATAAAAAAATAATCCGGGTTTTTCAGTACAAACACAAAGCGGGGTGCTGAGAATACCCCCTCGGTACAGAAGGCTATATCGGTCCGCTAATACAGGACTAGTAAAGGCCCAGTGAACTACTTTAGTAACAAATAAAACAACTTTTTCCAAAATGTTTTTAATATTTTATTTTATTTATTATTCTATTACTTAGCACCCCAATTTAGCTAGGCCAGCTGCAGAGCTGTCTGGCAAACTAATAGTACTAGTTCTTCAAAGATAAGGCATACTTTTACGAACTGTCTCTATCCCTTTCTCTCGTCCTTGTGTACATTCTTCTCTCATGCGGTCTATGCAGTGTTTGGATCTAACCTAACGTAGCAGCAGTGGCGTAAAGTACTTAAGTAAAAATACTTTAAAGTACTACTTAAGTAGTTTTTTTGGGTATCTGTACTTTACTATTTATATTTCTGACAACTTTTACTTTTACTTCACTATATTCCTAAAGAAAATAATTTACTTTTTACTCTAAACATTTTCCTTGACTCCCAAAAGTCTTGTTACATTTTGAATGCTTAGCAGGACAGGAAAATTGACAAATTCACACACTTATCAAGAGAACATTCCTTGTCATCCCTACTGCCTCTGATCTGGCGGACTCACTAAACACAAATGCTTAGTTTGTAAAGATGTCGGAGTGTTGGAGTGTGCCCCCGGCTAGCCGTAAATAAGAACAAGAAAATAGTGCCCTCTGGGTTGCTTAATATAAGGATTTTGAAATGATTTATACTTTTACTTTTGATACTTAAGTATATTTAAAACCAAATACTTTTAGACTTTTACTCAATTAGTATTTTACTGGGTAACTTTCACTTTTACTTGAGTCATTTTCTATTAAGGTATCTTTACTTTTACTCAAGTATGACAATTAGGTACTTTTTCCAACACTAAAAAAAACTGGCGCAATGGATTATGGTCATTGTCGTTAATTACCACATTTCTGCACTAAACTAGGTTGAATATTTGCTTAATGAAAACTACAACTCCCTTTAGCCCAGCGTCCCACATAGTTCTTCAGTTTATTGCTCTCGTGAATGATTAGAATTTTCTCTAGAGAAATAGCGCGTTGGGCTCACAAAACCCCCCGAATGTAAATGGTATTCAAGTAATTGAACCGACATTGGTCCAATTAGTTGTTTAATAACCGAACCCCCCCACCCCCTCCCAAAATGTTGGTTAATCGCTCAGCACTCAATCATGAGAAGATTGAGTTAGACTTCCTAATTGTGTAAGGAGCAGGAAGTCTGGCAAGTCATCTGAGCTGTTGCTCAACAACATAACCTTTTACCTAGTAATCACGTCTTTGGCCTTGTCTTGAACCAGTAACACTTTTTTTTGTGTTCCTGTAGTGCTACAATTTGACTCTCCCTTCCCAACCTTGAATGTGATACATTTTGCTTATAATGTTATGCCCTCTTTTTCTGCCACCAGTTGCCATGGCCAATGACTTGGCCTGTAAAGGTCTGGATAAGATTGAGAAGACCTTGCCAATCCTGCACCAGCCTTCTGAGCAGGTACATGACTCTCACTGGCCAGTTATTGCTTGGTACCGAATGACACAACGCAACACCGCATTTCACAATGAGTCAAGTGGATGCCAGTCAGGTTGGCCAACCGTAGAGGGAGGAGCAATGGTTTCAAAATCTGTGACGCATCACCTATTTGGACATGGCTCTCCCTCTGTCGTAAGCAAGTGTCTAGTCAGTCAGCAGTCATCCAAAGGCCAGGGTTCACTCGCTTCAAAAATGAGCTCAATCTCAATGTGACTTTCCTGGTTAAATGAAAAACAACTTTTTTTCTCCCCATCCCATTCTTCCTGTCTAGATTGTCGCCAACGCCAAGTATGCAGTGACCGGTGCCAAAGACGTGATGTCAGTCACCGTCACAGGGGCCAAGGACAGTGTGTCCCACACCTTGACCAATGCGGTGGACCGGACCAGGGGTGCCGTGCAGGACGGAGTGGAGATTACCCGTGCTGCGGTCCAGGATGGTATGCAGATGACCCGGGCAGCGGTCAACGGCAGTGTGAATACGGTGATGGAGAGCCGTGTGGCCCAGATGGTCAGCAGCGGAATGGACACGGCACTCACCACCTCCGAGAGCCTGGTGGACCAGTACCTGCCTCGCACTGAGGATGAGTTGGGTGAGTGAGAGCTAGGCTTATAACCTAACATAGCCTCTTACAATGGATTCTCAGTGATGACTCTGGAGAATGGGACTGGGGCTAGCAACAACACCAAAGAGCATTAGGATCAGTTATTGTTACTATTTAGCTATGCTGTTGATGTGGCTATTCATCCACATTCCAGAGAAACTGCAGCAAATCGGCTTCGGTTGACATTCTCAGAAACGAAGCTTATTCAGACATGACCCATGTTTTCTAATGACCAAAAGATAACATTTCTGATTGTTTTGGGCTAAATATCTTGGTTTAGAGTACAGTGATGAATAAAGAGGAATAATCCTGTACACAATGTTTCGTACAACACTTCCAAAACATATGTTGTCAATAGACTGTGTTCGGAAGTGAACTACTCATTTACTCATAATGCTATGTTTTTTACATTTTAGTCATTTTAGCAGACGCTCTTATTCAGAGCGACTTACAGTTAGTGAGTGCATAATTTTTTTTTCATACAGGCCCCCCATGGGAATCGAACCCACAACCCTGGCGTTGCAAGCGCCATGCTCTACCAACTGAGCTACACGGGGCCACGTGTGATTAGATTAACGAAGCTTGCTCACTTAAACCCATACAATGTCAGCAAGCATTTACATTACATTTACAATGATTCTTTGTATTTATTATGGATCCCCATTAGCTGCTGTCAAGGCAGCAGCTACTCTTCCTGGGGTCCAGCAAAATTAAGGCAGTTATACATTACAATACATTCATAACAGATTTCACAACATATTAAGTGTGTGCCCTCAGGCCTCTACTCAACTACCACATATCTATAACACAATCTGTGTGTACATGTGTGTATAGTGCGTATTTTATCATGTGTTTGTATGTAGGTGTCTGTTTGTGTTGCTTCACAGTCCCCGCTGTTCCATAAGGTGTATTTCTATCTGTTTTTTTTAAATCTAATTTTACTGCTGGCATGAGTTACTTGATGTGGAATAGAGTTCCATGTAGTCATAGCTCTATGTAGTACTGTGCGCCTCCCATAGTCTGTTCTTGACTTATAAACTGTGAAGAGACCTCTGGTGGCATGTCTTGTGGGGTATGCTGGGTGTCCGAGCTGTGTGCCAGTAGTTCAGACAGACAGCTCGGTGCATTCAACATGTCAATACCTCTCACAAATACAAATAGTTGCTACATCCATTTTTGGACTTATAAATGAATGATATGCACCCATTGATTCTTGAAGAATATAACTTACAAATGCCTCATGAGCTTAGTTCAATTGTCGTACCCCATCAGAACCTAAAATATAAGCTTGTTCTAATCCAATGTTTGTAAACAAAGTAAATGTAAACAATCACTGTATAGCCCGAAAACATGGTTAAAACTATAATTTTGATATCATGGATGGTCATTCCTTGAATCCATAGCTCGGTCTTTGAATTTGAGTGGTTACATTTCTCCAGGCCCATTCCCCCCGCTTTTTACCGAAACAGTGGTGGGGAGAACGATTAGTTATTGTTTCAACTCCTGATTGCCGCTTTAATTTCATGTTCCTCTTTTCATCGTGACAGAAATGGAGGCTGAAATGGTCAAAGGATTCGACGTGGCCAAGGATGCACCTAGCTACTATGTCCGACTGGGCTCTCTGTCTACCAAGTTGCGTAAGAGGGCATACCACAAGGCCCTGGCTCAGGTCAAAGACGCCAAGCAGCGCAGCCAGGAGTCCATCTCACAACTCAACCACACTGTGGACCTAGTGAGTGTTGACATCAAATGATTGAAATCGAAGTGGAAATGGGAACATTATTCTCTATAGAAAGTGTACATTTTGCAGATAAATTATTTTAACTCTTTCATAAGATTTTTCAAGATCTCATGAGGTTCCCTTGCACTGAATTCATTTCATTTATGTGGGAATGAGATGTTCGTTAAGTCTATCATTTCATTTTCAACACTTTTAGATTGAATACGCCAGAAAGAATATTGACGGAGCTAACCAGAAGGTGAAAGGGAAACTGAGCTCCCTGATTGAGTGGAAGTCTAATGAGGAAAAAGATGGCAACGAGGCCGAGGTAATGACCATACTAAAGAGCACTCATCATAAAATACAATTTTAGCCACATCATATTGTACATGGAGCACCAAGTCTAGGTCCAAAAGGCTTCTTAACAGCTTCTACCCCCAAGCCATAAGACTACTGAACAGCTAATCATGGCTACCCAGACTATTTACATTAACCCCCCTTTTATGCTGCTGCTACTCTGTTTATTATTTATGCATTGTCACTTTAACTCTACCCACATGTACATATTACCTCAACTAACCGGTGCCCCCCCACATTGACTCTGTACTGGTACCCCCCTGTATATAGCCTCCCTACTGTTCTTTTATTTTACTGCTGCTCTTGAATAAGTTTCAATTTTTTTATTAATCAATTTTTTACTTAACACTTTTTTTTCTTTTCTTAACTGCATTGTTGGTTAAGGGCTTGTAAGTAACCATTTCACTGTAAGGTCTACACCTGTTGTATTCGGTGCATGTGGCAAATAACATTTGATTTGATCCACTCTTGCAGTTTTGAGTCCAAATTCCATATTTAAGTTATTACTACTCCTTGGGGAAAAATCTACTTTATTGTATGTGAAGATGCAGGTGAATTAAATGGTCTTCATCATTTATCCCCCAGAACATAGAGTCGAGGACCCTGACCATAGCGCGCTCCCTCACCCAGCAGCTACAGACAACGTGCCAGGTTCTGGTGTCTGGCCTGCAGGGCCTTCCCCAGAACATCCAGAAGGAGGCGCTGTTCCTCAGCCGCTCAGCCTCCCAGGTCTACTCCAGCTTCAGCAAAGCGGCGGCGTTTGGGGACCTGTCGGATGGCGTGCTGGCCAGCAGCAAGGCCCAGCTGGGCAAGATGAAGGAGTCGCTGGATGACGTCATGGACTACCTGATTAACAACACACCCCTCAACTGGCTGGTAGGTCCCTTTTACCCCCGGCTGGCCCCACCCCCCACCGTCACGTCCTCCCAGTCCCAGAAGACACCAGCCCCCGCAGAGGTGGAGATGAAATCAATAGACTAACTAGCTGCCTGTTTAACGACTATCACATCTCATATTATTCATCCATCAAATATCCTTGATAGTCACACAGCCTGCATTTATTCAGCATGTTGATGAATACATGTTGACATACTGTTTGAATGTTGCTCAGTGTGTGCTCAATAATCTAGCTTCATTTCCACATGCATTTTCTTATGCAGCACATTGCTTTTGATGCTACTGTTGTTTTTGACATCACTTTATATCCTGTTGTAATCATAACCTGCCATATAGTAGATACAGCATTGTGTTAATACATTACCTTGTATGCTGCCATCTTTGTACAACAATTCTAATAAAGAAGTTAAAAATGTAATCTGTCTTGCTGCCTTAAATGACCAACCAGTGTGAAAGCATTTGAGAATGGAATTGGATGTTTTATACACTACTGAAACCCATTGGCTTCAGTGAATTCAGTGTCCGTAATACATTGAGATAGCTTGGATATTACGTTTGTCTGTGTGGTTCAACTAACCAAACTGTAGTTGTATGGTTTTCCAGGACTAGTTTTGGCAATGATGTAACCCTCCCTGTATTAATTCTTAATACCTAGTAGTCCAAAGGTCATACAGTAAGGCAGGTTCTTGTGCTTAGTTGTGTTTTCCATTTACAGGTACCAGACTTCACCTTGTCCGACCTGGCCTCGGAACCTGACCTCTCCTCAGTTGAGGACGATGAAATGGCAGATGAGACTAGCACCAACGAACCCCTATCAGCTCCCCTTGCCCACCAATAACCTGCATTGTCAGCTAAATAACACTTATCTGTCTAATATAATGGTTAGTTATTGAAAATAGTATTTTTCAAAATACTTTTAAATACTTCAAATAGAAGTAGTTGACTTGGCCAGTGTATTTGAAATTATAAATACTCATGTATTTCAACTGTCTGTGTGGATTGAAACATTTTTGTATTCGCTAAGTGACCGCCTCTTCCATATCCAGTCCCATACAGTTTTGAATCAGATTCAAGATTATATCATAAAATTCATAACGCGGTCATTTAAGATATAATATAATTGGTGTTTGTGGATTAATTTACTTATACTCTATGCCTTTTTATGAAGATGTTCGATTGGGTTTTCATTCAAAAAGTTAAACTACAAGGCGGTCACTTTCCCAGCGTATTTTCATGGCAGGTGTGTGAGCATTTAAACATTGCAGCTATAGTTTCCTTTACTGAATATAATGTGAAGTAAGTGGGATACAGACTGAGGCCTCCAGAATAGGAATGCTATTTCTCATAGTTGCAGGGGATTTAGGAGTAAATGTAACCAGTGTGTTCTAATTAGCAGTTCTTTATTAAGTAAATAGACCCCCCCAAAAGATCTGCCCCATTATATAAAGCTTGGAATACTTGAGCGGATGGTCGGGGGCCGGAATATAATACATAAAATTATACTGCAAATTGACCGCAAGAAGCTTAAACATATTTGACTAAAATGACTCCAGAGTGGCGCAGTGGTCTAAGGCACTGCATCACAGTGCTAGCTGTGCCACTAGAGATCCTGGTTCGATTCCAGGCTCTGTCGCAACCGGGAGACCCATGGGCGGCGCACAATTGGTCCAGCGTCGTCCAAGGTAGGGGAGGGTTTGGCCGGCAGGGATGTGGGTTCGTTTCCCACGGGGGCCAGTATGATTTTTTTGTTGTTGAAAATACATGTATTCACTAACTGTAAGCTGCTCTGGATAAGAGCGTCTGCTAAAAAATGTAAAATAATCATTTCAAACCTTGATTACATTTGGGAATATTGTCCTGCGTAGGGTGCCATCTTTTGGATGGAATGTTAAAATGGGTGTCCTGACTGTGGTCATTCAAAATCCCATGGCGCTTATTGTAAGAGTAGGGGTGTTCACCCCGGTGTCATGGCTAAATTCCCAACCTGGCCACATTCCATCATGGCCACCGAATCATCCCCCTCATTCCTAATTGGCATAGATCACTCCTCGTCGCCAGTTGGGGAACCCTGCTGTACAGAGCACAACGTCCCTCAATAACTTTCGGACAACTTTTTCTCAATGAACTCGCTGGTGTATTTTCAGGTTGCCGCTTTCAGTGAATCTCTTACCACACCTTATACACTGAGAAGGTTTCTCCCCTGTATGAGTCCTCATGTGTTTTCTAATGCAGCTGCTGGAGGCGAAACGTTTGTCACACAGTGTGCAGGGGTAAGGCCGCTCGCCTGTGTGACTCCGCAGATGCACGGTGAGTTGTGACGATATGTTGAACCTCTTCCCACAATGTTCACAACTGTAGGGCCGCTCACCTGTGTGTGTTCTCATGTGTACCCTTAAGTGACCTGAGGTGCATAAGGCCATTCCACAAACGCTACATAAAAATGGTTTCTCCCCTCTGTGCATCCGGAGGTGTTCAGTCAGGCCATTCGACTGTATAAATCCCTTCCCACAGATAGAACAGATATAAGGTCGCTCCCCGGTGTGAGTGCGTTCATGTGACTTTAAGATGTCTGATTTCCTAAAGCCCCTGCCACAATGTGAGCAAACATATGCCCTTTCTCCAGTGCGAATTGTCTGGTGAACTTTCTGGTGCCGTTTTAGATATACCTTCGTTTTGTATCTCTTCTCACACTGGTCACAATGGAACGGCCTGGCTTCAGAGTGAACACTTTCATGTCGTCTCAGGTCACAGTGGTTTCTGAAACCTTTCCAACACTGGGAGCAGGTGTACCTGTTGATTTGATAGAACAATATATATGTTAAGGTGGTTTAGTCAAGGTACTTACCACAGAACTAACAAGCATCACTATCTTCACCATCGTAGTCCCGTACAGAGCTCAAACTCATTTTTTTCGGGGGCCACAGGATACAGTTAATGTTTGTGTGATTACCTAGTATCCGGTGTCGAAAACCTACCACTTACAGAAACAAAGTAACCAATTACCTCATTATTACGAGAAAAATCCTATTACATGGTCATTAAATTGCCAATTATCGTGCTTCTATGAGAAGGAAGATGTTATTACAACGCAAATCAATCAATAACTTATTATAAAATAACAATCCTCGTTATAATGGGAATCATAACGTTGTTCCAATATAATGCGTGTTCTTAGAACATGGATAGACTGTGGCTACTGCAACTCATGTCCAACGAGGAGAGGTGGAACATTGTCTTTCTTTCTTTCCTTCTTTCTTGCCGCACTTGGTGATTTGTGGTGGGCCGTACTGATATTACACACTGAAACCCGTACATTTGTGGCTGTTCCCCGATGAACCCGCTGGTGTACTTTCAAGTTGCCGCTTTCAGTGAATCTCCTATCGCACATTCTACACTGGTAAGGTTTCTCTCCTGTATGGATTCGCATGTGTCTGCAAAGGTCGCTGTGGGAAGTGAAGCATTTGTCGCACTGTGTGCAGGAGAACGGCCGCTCACCAGTGTGGATCCGCCCATGTATTGTGAGATCGCAACCTCTTCCCACAATGCTCACAGCTTTTGGGGCGTTCATCCGTGTGTGTACCAACAAGACACCTGAGGTACTAAAATTATTTCCACAAACGGTACATAAGAACGGTTTTTCCCCTCTGTGCCAGCGGAGGTGACCGATCAGTATTTGATGTTGAATAAATCCCTTCCCACAAATAGAACAGACAAAAGGTCGCTCCCCAGTGTGAGTGCGTACATGGGATTGTAAAGTTCCTGCAGACCTAAAGCCTCTGCCACAATGTGAGCAAACATATGGCCTTTCTCCAGTGTCACTCAGCAGATGCACTGTGAGATTTCCAGGAAAGTTGAATCTCTTCCCACAATGTTCACAGCTGTAGGGCTGTTCACCTGTGTGTGTTTTCATATGTACCCTCAAGTGACTTGACGTGCAACAGGCCATTCCACAAACGCTACATAAGAACGCCTTCTCCCCTCTGTGCATCCTAAGGTTCTGTTTTAGAGCCACCTTCGTTTTGTATCTCTTCTCACACGGGTCACAATGGAAGGGCTTCACCTCAGAGTGAACTGTTTCGTGTCGTCTCAGTTCATATGAACATTTGTAACCCTTCCCACACTGGGAGCAGATGTACCTGTTCGTCCTGGTCTTCTTGGCTGAGGAGCTTTCCGTCTCACTGACAGGCAGGGCGATGTTTTCAGATCCAGCTTCTCCAGAGCCCAGGATCCCACTGTCCTCCTTTGGATGGTTCTTCTTGATGTGCTCCTGGAGGGTGAGCCATCTCCTGTTGGAGAACTGGCACTGTGAGCAGGAGAAGCCCTGGGACTGGGGGGGCTTGGCTTTAGCTTGTCCTGCAGGTAGAAAACACAGGAGAGTGGAATAAGGGCCACTGGGCAAAGGAAAAGTTTCAAGTTAAACATGCACTGATCGCGTCATATGACAATTCTAGTTGTTGTTTTTGTTGTCGTTGAGTTACTTTATGTAATTTCTGTTTATGTATTTTTGTAGTTTGTCAGGGTAATTGTTTATGTGTGGGATAGATTTTTTCCCCCTTGTTTGTTTTCTTTTGTGTGTCCACCACACTGGGGTAGTGGGCTAAGAGGGTGGGGTGTTCTGGGGGAGGTGTGGATCAGTAGTCTGGGGGACCATGAACCTTTAGATCCCAAATCCCTATCGTGGGATGGTTATTTGTAATAGCTGTCAATTGGATTACATGCTTATGATCAAAAATACCAATAAAAAAAGAAAAGGACCAAAAAAGAAAAGAGCCTCCTTGTAAAAATAATGATATATACAGTGGGGAGAACAAGTATTTGATACACTGCCGATTTTGCAGGTTTTCCTACTTACAAAGCATCTAAAGGTCTGTAATTTTTATCATAGGTACACTTCAACTGTGAGAGACGGAATCTAAAACAAAAATCCAGAAAATGACATTGTATGATTTTTAAGTAATTCATTTGCATTTTATTGCATGACATAAGTATTTGATCACCTACCAACCAGTAAGAATTCCGGCTCTCACAGACCTGTTAGTTTTTCTTTAAGAAGCCCTCCTGTTCTCCACTCATTACCTGTATTAACTGCACCTGTTTGAACTCGTTACCTGTATAAAAGACACCTGTCCACACACTCAATCAAACAGACTCCAACCTCTCCACAATGGCCAAGACCAGAGAGCTGTGTAAGGACATCAGGGATAAAATTGTAGACCTACACAAGGCTGGGATGGGCTACAGGACAATAGGCAAGCAGCTTGGTGAGAAGGCAACAACTGTTGGCGCAATTATTAGAAAATGGAAGAAGTTCAAGATGACGGTCAATCACCCTTGGTCTGGGGCTCCATGCAAGATCTCACCTCGTGGGGCATCAATGATCATGAGGAAGGTGAGGGATCAGCCCAGAACTACACGACAGGACCTGGTCAATGACCTGAAGAGAGCTGGGACCACAGTCTGAAAGAAAACCATTAGTAACACACTACGCCGTCATGGATTAAAATCCTGCAGCGCACACAAGGTCCCCCTGCTCAAACCAGCGCATGTCCAGGCCCATCTGAAGTTTGCTAATGACCATCTGGATGATCCAGAGGAGGAATGGGAGAAGGTCATGTGGTCTGATGAGACAAAAATTGAGCTTTTTGGTCTAAACTCTACTCGCCGTGTTTGGAGGAAGAAGAAGGATGAGTACAACCCCAAGAACACCATCCCAACCGTGAAGCATGGAGGTGGAAACATCATTCTTTGGGGATGCTTTTCTGCAAAGGGGACAGGACGACTACACCGTATTGAGGGGAGGATGGATGGGGCCATGTATCGCGAGATCTTGGCCAACAACCTCCTTCCCTTAGTAAGAGCATTGAAGATGGGTCGTGGCTGGGTCTTCCAAGCATGACAATGACCTGAAACACACAGCCAGGGCAACTAAGGAGTGGCTCCGTAAGAAGCATCTCAAGGTCCTGGAGTGGCCTAGCCAGTCTCCAGACCTGAACCCAATAGAAAATCTTTGGAGGGAGCTGAAAGTCCGTATTGCCCAGCGACAGCCCCGAAACCTGAAGGATCTGGAGAAGGTCTGTATGGAGGAGTGGGCCAAAATCCCTGCTGCAGTGTGTGCAAACCTGGTCAAGACCTACAGGAAACGTATGATCTCTGTAATTGCAAACAAAGGTTTCTGTACCAAATATTAAGTTCTGCTTTTCTGATGTATCAAATACTTATGTCATGCAATAAAATGCAAATTCATTACTTAAAAATCATACAATGTGATTTTCTAGATTTTTGTTTTAGATTCCATCTCTCACAGTTGAAGTGTACCTATGATAAAAATTACAGACCTCTACATGCTTTGTAAGTAGGAAAACCTGCAAAATCGGCAGTGTATCAAATACTTGTTCTCCCCACTGTGTGTGTGTATATATATATATATATATATATAACCAAAAATAAACATTTAATAATAAAGGAAAAAATGTGTTTAAACAAAAATAGTTTATTACTTCCAAAAGTGAGGGGGGAGGTGGGTTCAAAAATAAATAAGGGCCACTGAGTTCACCCCATTTCAGATTGCCTTCAGTAGCTGATGAGGCGATAATAAATATTTTAAAAAAATTGAAAGTCCATGCAGGTTGTGCAATAATAAAATCTGTGCACTAAATTGATCTAAACTACATTCAAATTCAACAACAACAAAGTGTTCTTATGTTAAAATACGTTTCACTAACAACCAGACTCTGCTACTGGAAAAAGTAATCAAACTTCACCAACTCAGTTTGCCAGTGTATGGATGTATGCAATGTATTCCACCCTGAATTTCCTTACCATTGATGGCCACTAATGATGGCTGTTTCTGCTGCCCTGAGTTCCCAGAGGATTCCCCAGCCTCTTCCAGTCTTTCAGTGCCCTCATCACTTTCCTCATTGGCATCTTCGTCCTCCCCACTGACTTCTTGCTGTCTCTCCTCGCCACTCTCCTGTTCTTTCAGCCCTTTAGGCTTTTCCTTCTCTCTGTTTCTCCTCACATCGCTCTCGTTCTTCACCATGCCTTTTTCTCTGCCTCTTTTGGTCTGTTCAGACTTCAGTGAGGGAGCGAGGAGGGACAACGTGGACAGGATGGTATCAGAGTCATAGAAGAAAAGATCTTGAAAAGAGAGAGAATCCAAATAACTCCAAATTCTCTTTCAGGAGAATCCCCCACAAGCATTGACCCCAGAGGTTAACACAAGTTCAAATAGATCACCTGAGGGATCCTAACCTTTTTTTAGGTGCCCCAGATTTCTATGATGCTGCAGCAGTGTCTTCAGATGCTCAGGGTCAGAGACAGAATGCTGACACTCCTCCAGGTCAGCAGGGGTCAGTTTGAGAATGGATGCTGTCTGAGGGAGAGAATAAGCAGAACAGAGAAAAGCACAGTCCAATCCCACATGACCCCTAGACCCTACCCCATTGACACGTATTGATGTTTATTCATTCATGGCAGGAGGTCATTTAAACATTTTTAAAAATCCTACATTTCAAGCAAGTCTTACAAATGAATGTCAACATTAGATGATCTAATAGGATGGAGATGGTACCTGTGTAAAGCTGGGCACTGGCAGCATCTCCTCCAGTCTGTTGAAGAACTGCCACACCAGTATCTGCAGTGCTGTGTCCTACCTAGTGCTGTACTGCACAGGGAACACCTCCTTCAACACAGAGAAGGAAAGGGAGAGTCATGTGGTTTTAGCCAAGGCATATGTAGTAATTTAATCATGTTCAATATTCACCTTGAGGTCATTCTAGTCTAGGGATGGGCAACTTTAATGGGGGTGGGGGCCACAAAAAATCTGAACTCATCAGGGGCCGCAGTTGCTCGCGAGTCTGCGTCCCCATATGTGCATACCTCCCCACCACCACATTTTAGCAGCCCCCCTCTTGACAGAAGGGAGAAACATTTTGTTTTAGATGAAATTTTGTGCAATTCTACACATTTTGCCATGGAGCATTAAGAAAATGTTGCAGTTTTAAAGCAAGTTTGCTGCAATTCTACACATTTTGTCATAGGGTGGAGAGAAATGTTTGCAGTTTTTAATATGATATCTGAGTGAGACTGACTAACACAATCAATGGGGGCCCCCCAGCTGGTAATTCAACCATTATTACCAAGTTTAGATAGCTGGCCGCTAGACTCATTTATCAATCTAAAAATTTTAACTGAAATGGGCAAATTGTTATTATTATATTTTTTAGTTTTACCCCTTTTTCATGATATCCAATTGGTAGTTACAGTCTTGTCCCATCGCTGCAACTCCCGTATGGACTCGGGAGAGGCGAAGGTCGAGAGCCATGCGTCCACCGCAACACGACCCTGCCAAGCCGCACTGCTTCTTGACACACTGCTCGCTTAACCCGGAAGCCAGCCGCACCAATGTGTGCGGAGGAAACACAGTACAACTGGCGACTGTCAGCATGCATGCGCACAGCCCACCACAGGAGTCGCTAGAGCGCGATAGGACAAGGACATCCCGGCCGACCAAACTCTACCCTAATCCGGACGACGCTGTGCGTCGCCTCATGGGTCTCCCAGTCGCGGCCGGCTGCGACACAGCCCGGGATTGAATCCGGATCTGTAGTGATGCCTCAAGCACTGCAGTGCCTTAAACCACTGCGCCACTCGGGGGCCGACATGGGCTAATTGAGTGACTATCAGTGACTGACGTAAGACAAAAACTGTTATTGAACAAACCAATTTCGAAATTGCACCTCGTGTATTCTACTATTCTAACTCGCAACAGTAAGTTGAAACCCCGACTGAGTTGACAAAAAATTATAATTGAGTTGGCCATCCCTGTTCTAGTCCTTTGAAGGTGGGATTCATAGCATCTAGATGTTAGATATTATCTCACCTGAAAAAAGTGTTCCCTCTTCGTTGCGTCGTCTAGCAGAGTTTGGACCAGCTCCACAAAGTTATCCTTTGAGGCCTCCACTTCTTTGTCTTTGCTCTGAATATGTAAATCACACACACAAAACAACTGTAAACAACTACAATGAGAACTAGGTAAAGCAGACTTGCCATTAACAGACTGATGTGTGTTACACATACAGGTTACTTACCCCTTTACGTGTTGTGCATGAATGGATTCTGTCCAGGTGGGGCTGGGTTGTTTTGTAGCCAGCTGGGTTAGACTCCACACCACGACACAATTCAAGAACCAGCTGAAACAGGAGGCGTATACTGTTGTAGCTATGAACAAATTATTACTGAACAAAAATAAACGCAACATGTAAAGTGTTGGTCCCATGTTTCATGAGCAGAAATAAAAGATCCCACAAATTTTCCAAACGCACAAAAAGCTTATTTTTCTCAAATGTGTTTATATCCTGTTAGTGAGCATTTCTCCTTTGCCATGATAATCCATCCACCTGACAGGTGTGCATATCAAGAAGCTGATTAAACAGCATGATCATTACAAAAGGTGCACCTTGTGCTGGGAAAATAAAAGGCCACCAAAATGTGCTGTTTTGTCACACAACACAATGCCACAGATGTCTCAAGTTGAGGGAGCGTGCAATTGGCATGCTGATTGCAGAAATGTCCACCAGAGCTGTTGCCAGAAAATGGAATGTTCATCTCTCTACCATAAGCCGCCTCTGAAGTCATTTTAGAGAGTTTTGCAGTACGTACAACCGGTCTCATAACCGCAGACCACGTATAACCACGCCAGCCCAGGACCTCCATATCTGGCTTCTTCACCCGCGGGATCGTCTGAGCCCAGTCACCCGGACAGCTGATGAAACTGTGGGTTTGCACAACCAAAGCATTTCTGCACTAACTGTCAGAAAGAGTCTTAGGGAAGCTCATATGTGTGCTCTGCATCCTCACCAGGGTCTTGACCTGACTGCAGTTCGGCATCATACCCGACTTCAGTGTGCAAACACTCACCTTCGATGGCCACTGGCACGCTGGAGAATTGTGCTCTTCACGGATTAATCCCAGTTTCAACTGTACCGGGCAGATGGCAGACAGCGGGAATGGCGTTGTGTGGGAGAGCGTTTTGCTGATGTCAATGTTGTGAACAGAGTGCCCCATGGTGGCGGTGGAGATATGGTATGAGCAGGCATAAGCTATGGACAAAGAACACAATTGCATTTTATCGATGGCAATTTGAATGCACAGAGATACCATGACGAGATCCTGAGGCCCATTGTTGTGTCATTCATCCACCGCCATCACCCTCATGTTTCAGCATGATAATGCACGGCCACATGTCGTAAGGATCAGTACACAATTCCTGGAAGCTGAAAATGTCCCAGTTCTTCCATGGTCTGCATACTCACCAGACATGTCACCTATTGAGCCTGTTTGGGATGCTCTAGATCGACGTGTACGACAGCGTGTTCCAGTTCCCGACAATATCCAGCAACTTCGTACAGCCATTGAAGAGGAGCGGGACAACATTCCACAACAGTCAACAGCCTGATCAACTCTATGCGAAGGAGATGTGGCGCTGCATGAGGCAAATCGTAGTCACACCAGATACTGAGTCAAATATGTAACTGATAATGAGTGTAAATGATAACTGTGACATCCAGGGGCTTGGGGTGAACAAAGGTCTGAATCTCACCAAATGGCCCACATTATACTTTAGTGGTAGACATTTCTCAAATTATTTCCCCAACCCTACACCATTCCCAACCCTCAACACTTCCACCTGTCTCACCCTCACTCTCAGTCCCAGGATGAGTTGGACCCTTTGCCTGAACGTCAGGAGCTCCGGAACCATCTCTGTCACCAGAGTCACAAACTCCTCCAGCTTCCCATACTGCATCACGTTACGCTGCTAAGCCACTTGCCACATGGATGCAGACATCAGACGTAGTGGTGGCACCAGGAGACGTAGGGAGGATAGAGGGAGATGGGGACCTGTCACCAGAGGAGGAAGTTAGACAGTTCATGTCAGTACACTCCACTGTTTTTGTGTGGCATTTGAGTCTTTGTAAACAATTATTCTATATGTTTGAAATGTCAGTCTCATGAGCAGCATTTAGAGACAGGTAGCCCAATTCTGGTCTTTTGACCAATCACATCAGATCTTTTTCAGAGCTGATATGACTGGTCAAAACACCAATTAGTGAAAAAAGATCAGAATTGGGCTGCCTGTCTAAACGCAGCCATGGACTGCCAGTCCTTGCACCCATTAGCTCTTTAGCTAGCTATTTGTATTTCCCCAGCCCTTAGCTTACCAAAGTAGCAGTGTCAGGCTTGTTAACATTACAATGAAAATCATTAACACAATTCAACAAACCTGAAAATGTTGATGTAGGGTCCATTTCCCCACTCACTTGGGGAAACTATTTTCTCATTCTATAAGGTTGAGGAGTGCCCAGAGTGTTAACTCTACGATAACAAGAAAATGCTGGCCCCTGTGATGCATCTTATCGAAGTTAGACAGGCATGGTCCGTCATGGGCATCGATCTCATAGGTCCTTTTGAGGAGAAAACCGCAGCTGGTAACCGGTATGCCCTTACCATGACTGACCTCTTCCGCAAATGGGTGATTGCTGAACCCTTGGAAGGCAAATCGGGACCAGAGATCGCTTCGATAGTCACCAACAAACTTCTTGATTTTGGACTTGTTGACAAAATCATCACTGACCGGGGAGGGGAGTTTGCAAACGATGTACGTAGTGTTACTGTCACTGTCAAACATTGGTCATGAAAAGTCTAACACTTTCGAATCACAACTATGCAAGTGCTATGTTTGTCACTTTTTGTTTTTCAGCTCAACAGAACCATCTTTGAGAAGTTTGGAATCGAACACTGTGTCTCGTCTGCCTACTATCCTCAGACAAATGGACAAGACGAGAGGACGAACCAAACCGTCAAAAGGACTCTGGCGAAATACTGTGAAGACCATCCGGAAGAATGGGATCTCCATTTGAAGGGTGTTGCTTACGCCATCAACACTTCATCACAGGCATCCACAAAGCACTCTCCGTACTTTGTGCTTTTTCACTGGCACCCAAATATGCCAGAGGCACTGAATGCATGTCCCATGGGCGATGACATTGTCATCGGAGATCCAGCTAAGGACATGGAAGAGAAGATTGAGACGGTTACAGCCCTACATGCAGAGGTTTTGGCAAACATTCAGAAGGCCCTGGCAAAGCAGAAGATCCAATACGAGTCAAAAAATAGGAAACGTGGGAGGTCCTTTGTGATAAAGGATAGAGACGAAATCCTGAAGCGTGTCACAATGCAAGATGCCAAGAGAGGGGCCATTTCATTATAAAAGAGGTCTCTGAAAAAGGTGTTGCTACTCTGGAAAATGAGCGGGGCATTCAGAAGACAAATGTTGGTGACCTGAAGCCATACAGTCGAAGAGTCCCTGCTTTCCCGAAAGTGTCTGCCCACTTTAAGTAGATATAAAAGTTGTTATTCATATGTTTTCTTTAGTTATTTTTTAAGCATTAGGGACAGTTTAGGGTTGATCCTTTACAGTACAAAAGGTAGAATACAGTGCATTCGTAAAGTATTCAGACCCCTTCACCTTTTCCACATTTTGTTACGGTACAGCCTCAAATTCATTAAATCGTTTTTTTTCTCTCATCAATCTACACAAAAAATGGAAATATTACATTTACATAAGTATTCAGACCCTTTACTCAGTACTTTGTTGAAGCACCTTGGCAGCGATTACAGCTTCAAGTCTTCTTGGGTATGACACTACAAGCTTGGCACACCTGTATTTGGGGAGTTTCTCCCATTCTTCTCTGCAGATCCTCTCAAGCTCTGTCAGGTTGGATGGGGAGCGTCGCTGCACAGCTATTTTCAGAGATGTTCGATCGGGTTCAAGTCCGGGCTCTGGCTGGGTCACTCAAGCACATTCAGAGACTTGTCCCAAAGCCACTCCTGCGTTGTCTTGGCTGTGTGCTTAGGGTCGTTGTCCTGTTGGAAGGTGAACCATCACCCCAGTCTGAGGTCCTGAGTGCTCTGGAGCATGTTTTCATCAAGGATCGCTCTGTACTTTGCTCCGTTCATCTTTCCCGACTAGTCTCCCAGTCCTTGCCGCTGAAAAACATCCCCACAGCATGATGCTGCCACCACCATGCTTCACTGTAGGGATGGTATTGGCCAGGTGATGAGCGGTGCCTGGTTTCCTCCAGATTTGACGCTTGGCACTCAGGCCAAAGTGTTCAATCTTGGTGTAGCCAGGTGGTAAAAGCGCATAGATGGCACTGTCCCTTTAAGAGATCCATAAATGAGGTGTGCAAGTGGTTATGGGATGGTGCATGCGCAGTGTGTAATAGTGAGTGCAAGCAATTACACTGGAGAGCTGTTGAAATCCATTGTGGGTCCAACATTACTTTAGATTGACATGAGGATGTTAGCTTCTTGCTAGCTGAATACCAGTGCTCTCAGAACCACGTTGTGGAGTTGATGATAACATTATTTGAAGCTGCTGTTTGGGTGAGATGAGGATCTACTGTTCCATGTGGGGTTAGGGTATCACGTGGACAGCGTGTTTAACGCAGAGCCACTACCGGTTATGCATTTCACTTCGTACTCGGATTGTTTTATGCACTTTAATAACGGATTTATTTCACTTGTTTGTGATTTAGACTGAACTTTACTTTATGGTGACTTCATCTTGTGGTGATTTCCCTTCTACATGATCCTATTTTAAATTTAAGCTTCGGCAGAATAAACAACCCCAAATTAGTTCAATCTTGGTTTCATCAGACCAGAGAATCTTGTTCAGGTTCTTGGTCACCTCCCTTACCAAGGCCCTTCTCCCCATGTTGCTCAGTTTGGTCTGGCAGCCAAGCTCTAGGAAGAGTCTTGGTGGTTCCAAACCTCTTCCATTTAAGAATGACGGAGGCCACTGTGTTCTTGGGGACCTTCAATGCTGCAGAAATTTGTTGGTACCCTTCCCCAGATCTGTGCCTCGTCTCGGAGCTCTACCTCGTCTCGGAGCTCTACAGACTATTCCGTCGACCTCATGGCTTGGTTTTTGCTCTGACTTACACTGTCAACTGTGGGACCTTATATAGACAGGTGTGTGTGAGCCATCCCAAATCATGTCCAATCAATTGAATTTACCACAGGTGGACTCCAATCAAGTTGTAGAAACATCAAGGATGATCAATGGAAACAGGATGCACCTGAGCTCAAGTTTCATAGCAAAGGAGTTTCATAGCAAAGGGTCTGAATACTTATGTACATTAGGTATTTCTGTTTTTTTATTTTCAATACATTTGCAAACATTTCTAAAAACCTGTTTTCACTTTGTCATTATGGGGTATTGTGTATATTGATGAGGGGGATTTAAAAAAAATCAATTTTAGAATAAGGCTGTAACATAACAAAATGTGTTAAGAGTGAAGTTATCTGAATACTTTCCGAATGCACTGTATATGTTCTAATATGGTTGACAGATTTCAGACAACCCTGGCTACAGTGCTAACAGTCAGAGTGAGGCAGAGACAGATCAGACTGCAGATCAGGTTGTAGTTGAGGGAAGTGGCACAACTGACAACGGTATGATATGCCTTATATCACTTATTTTTATTCAAGCGATACTAGCAAGAGCTGTGTGGGTTTCTTTATTTTGAAGTTATCACATTGTTCCCATGCACCTGCAACAAGTTCTCGTGTTTTTGTTTTTGAAATGATGTATTCAATAGAGAAATTATTTAAAGTTGCTAGAACTCTAATCAACTTTGAAATAATAACAACAGGACTGACCAGATTCTCGACGGAGGAGTTTCAGATTCTGATTTCAGATATCGGCAAGGTAAAGAAGTAAAATAGTTTAAGTTTAAATCATGTGAACCCTTTCCTGGGATAATATTTTATAATTTTGCTGTTTGGTTTTTATCTCCAGCGCGCCCTTTCCAGGATCTATAGAGGCAGGATCTATAAAGAGGAAACCAATGAGCAGAGTATAATCCTCAGAATCGGAAATGCACTTACCACTCTGGAGGACTTCAAGAGACTCTGGCCGACAAAGAGGAGTTTCCCTTGGGTGTCTGAGGGTGTGAGTACAATTGTAATACGTGATATCTTGCTCAACATGTAGCAGTTTTACAGTAACACTAGTATCACTGTCTTGGTTTCACATTTTGATGCTCACTGTCTTCTAATTATCTACAGTCTATAGACACAAGGTTATCCCAGCTAGTAGCAGAAGCGGAGCAAGTAGCAGAAACGGAGACGAAGTATGTGAGTATACAAATGTATTAGAAGTGTAGTAATTAATGTAATGTCTAACGCAAACATCTCCCCTCATACAGTGTAACGATTTCTTTCAATAGGTGAAAGCACTTCCCCTATGTGTATTCATATCCTGGTTGCGCAGATGGACTAACAGCAGACATATCCATGAACGTGTCCTTTCTTGTTACCTGAAGGTATGAAATGCAGACTGACTTAACTGAATTACTTTACCACCTTTTGAAATGACTGCACTCTCCTGATTCATATTTAGTAATTTATTTGTGAAGGTATTTAAATTCTTAAACTCTAAACCCAAACAGGATGTTCAGACAAACAGCAAGGTCCTTCTTCCTCTGTGTGTGGGAGCTGATCCTGAGAAAGGGGACCATTACATCCTTTGGTGCGTGTCCACTTAATGATATACAGTACCAGTCAAAAGTTTGGACACACCTACTCATTTAAGGGTTTTTATTTTTTACAACTATTTTCTACATTGTAGAATAATAGTGAAGACCTCAAAACTATGAAATAACACATATGGAATCATGTAGTAACAAAAAAAAAAAGTGTTAAACAAATCAAAATATATATTTTATGAGATTCTTCAAA